TTTTTTTTTTTTTTTTTTTTTTTTTTTTTTTTTTTTTTAAAAAAAAAAAAAAAAATCCCATTTTTTTTTTTTTTTTGCGGCACCCCCCCCCCCCCCCCCCCCCCATGTTAATTAAGCATTAAAAAAAAATCTCATTATTTGGAATTTTTTAACTCAACGCTATAATTTTTTATAGATTAAAATGTGATAAGGTCTTAATTTTATTCTCGGAGCAATCATCACATATAATGATCTATGCATTAGTCTATGTGAGATAGTAAAATATTCACGTCCTTTTTAAGAATTCGCAAAGTTGTTATCGAAACCGTCGAAACCGTTAAAACTTTTGAGACTCATCAAAACCATCGAAGCTGTCGAAACCCGTCGAAGCCCATCGAAACTGTCGAAACCCGTCGAAACCCATCGAAACTGTCGAAACAATTTCTGAAAAGTTTTGACTTTTGCCAAAATGGGTTTAGGGTTTTGTCCTGCAACTATATATACCTCCAAAAAAACTTTCCATATTTAAATAAATAATGTATTACATTAAATAAATTTATATTACTTGTCAATTTATATTATTGATAAAAATCGATTTGTTGCTGTGGGTGGTAATAATTGATATCGGTAGGTTGTTGAAATGGTTTGTCATTTTATCTCTCAGCATCTTGTAAGAAGTGATGTGGGATGTATTGAAATAAATGTTGTGGATCATATGAGAGGAATCTTCATTATTTCGTCTGCAACTTCATCAGAATATGAACTCGTGCGAGTTTTAATCTTTGAAAGATATAAAGGAAGATTTTTGCGTCAAGTTCTTTTCAAAGATGAATTTTTGATTTATGAATAACGTCGACTTATTCAACATAATTCAAAATGTTTGTAAAAAAAAAAAAAAAATCCTGTAAAACAATTCTATCAAGTTATAAGATAAAATTTATCATTTTACGTACGTTGTAAATTGATGGAACAATCAGATTGTCTAAAAATTATCGCATGTTTAATTTTAGTAAGTTAAGTTCATGATATTTATGATTCTTTATATTAAATGTGATAAAAGGTATACAAAGAGCGTATATAAGATGATACACATTAGAACACACTCATCGAAGTTATTCAGATACAATTTGAGAAATTCTAATATTTATAAGATCAAATAACCAAAATATCGAATCGAATAATATCAGGTTTCAAGAAAATCACACGTGGGGCTTAAATCAAGACGTAATCATGAACTACCCCTACATTATTTCAAGCTTTAGCTTTGTAAATTTTTTAAAATAAACTTCAAACTTAAGAAATCAACATAAATCGTAGGTGTGTAAGCAAGTAAGTGGCGTGACGAAGATTAAATAAAGCTAATCTAAGGAATAAAATGAATTATAAATATATATATATAGGTCATAAACGATAAAGACAACAAAGCAACAATCGACAAACACTCCGGATAACAACCAGCATGTTAATACCCATTGCTGTTATTTTCTCATTCGTTTTATTTAATCTCTCATAATTTATTACCACAGATAATTTTTATTTTTAAACGTTAATTATAGGATGATCCAGTTGCAAAGGATGTTGGAAAAATACCTTGGAGTACGACATGATCCCGCCAATGACCTCCTGATTATAAAAATATTAAAGAAGAAATGATTTTTTTTCTTGAGGTGGGTTTTGATTATGAGATTTTTTTTTTTTACTTTCAGAGTATAATTAAAAATGCTTGGGAGTCGTTGGCAGTTGCACCGCCCCCGTGGCAAATAATATATGACAAATAAAACGTGATAACAGTGCAGATCATATCCATATAAAGATGTCATTTCTAATTTTGGATTGTTTCGTTGATCGTCGCGGTTACAATATAAAAAAGAGGAAATTTTTTTAAATAATCTTTCCGTCGTTTCTTGCGTAACAACTTTCGTTCGTTCTTTTAAGTATGCTTTTTTTTAAAAATATTTGAACTGTAGGTACGATAAATACTTTGTTACTTTAGGCCTTCAAAATACTATTTATGCAACAGATGAACGTTGCTGCTAGTTAAGTATTTTTTTTTCTATACTATTGAAGTAGACTTATTGCGATGATTAATCCCTGTGGCTGGGCCTTTAAGAGATAGATGTGTCTAGTACACTATTGCTTTTCACCTCTTCTATTGCTTTAGCTAAGAAATCAGTACGTGTAATAGAGTCATATCTCTATAGTGCCTTTATCACGTCCTCTGCACGTTAAATATCCTCTGCACGCTTATTATCACGATACGATATTTTCAACACGATATGGCTTTGACAGTCCTCTGAGCACAAAATTTTTTATTCGATATGTTGAAATGTACATCACTTTGCTAATTATGAATGCTAATATCTATTAACAGTCGAGAGAACTACTGAAAAATTCTGTCTCTATAATGCTGAAACATATCAAATGATTTTTCGTAACATTTTGATGGGTACGCAGTGGAAATCTCATATTTATTTAATACAACAAATTTTTTCTGAATATATTTTTTAATACTTTTTTTTTTTATTTTTCGTTTCTTTTTATATTTTATTTTTTTATTTCTCCCCCAATTTTATTTATTTTTTATTTTTTTAATTCAATTAAATCTTCAAGTCAAAAAATAAAGATCAAGAAGTTTAATATAATAATTAATTTGACTTTCGTCGATTATTCTAGTTTCGACTATTATAGTTCGTCGAGTAAACATAATTGTTTATATTTGCATGGTTTGTTCTGGTTGTTAAAAAAAATATCCCTGGATGAATAATCCGATTTTGCTGCGTCAAATATATAATACGATAATGATAATTTACAAATTAATTTTCCAAGTGTACAAAACTTAAGACATTTTTAATCATCGAAAAATTCAAAACTTCAGCTGAATCCGTATGATAGGATAAAAATTTATATACTAATTCCCACCACGCTCAACAGTATTTATTTAACATCTTATATTTATTAATACGTAAAAAATTAAGTTTAAATATAAAATTAAAGGGTATTACTATTTGGCGACTCGGTCAACAGCCATAGCGTCTTTCGTAAAAAATGGTAGCCGGATTTTATTTGCCGGGTCACATATACTTATTAAAGGTGACATATATCTCCCCAGAATACTTAAGAACGGCTGGGATGTGACGCATGTGACAAATTTGCTAACCCACTTAAACTAATCCTAATTCTACCCTAATCCTAATCCTAATCCAAACCCTAACTCTAACTCTAATGCTAACGACAACCACAGCATCACCCAGAAAAAATGGCAGCCGGATTTTATTTTCCTGGTATTTATTATTAGGGTTAGTATTAGAGTTAGGGTTTGGAATAGGATTAGGATTAGGGTATAATTAGGATTAGTTTAAGGGGGTCAGAAAATTTGTCACATGCGTCACATCCCAGCCGTTCTTCAATTTACTAAGCTTATGGGGACAGAAATTATTTTTGAGAGAAAAATGCTAATTGTCACTATTATATGTCACCCCTAATAAGTATATGTGACCCGGCAAATAAATCCGGCAAATAAAATCAGGCTACCATTTTTTATGGGAGACGCTATGGTTCGTGTGATAGGTTTTATCGATTTGGATTGGACAAAATGTTTAAACAAAAAATTGGCAATCATTATTTAATGACCCACATCGATTTTTATAAAAATATTTTTTCGTATCTAAAAATTTTGTATCAACAATATTTTAGAGTCTGCTAATATAATAAAATTTTTCATAATCTCACAATATCATCCATTTCTTTAATACAAAAGATTGATTGTTCTACTAATTTGGTGATCAAATCCGAATATTTTTTATTCAACTAGGTTCTAAAGTTGATTTAATAATTTTCCGTCTCATTAACGATCAATACACCTCGTACTGTTGTACTGTTGTAAGACGTTTGACGTTTTCTTCAACCTCAGACTTTAAAATTGAATTTGATGTAAACGTTAATATGCTTTATTTTGATTTTTTTTTTTTACTGTAGAATCGAGAACTTGTACCGTTTATCATATAGATTTGCTTAATCAGGTTAAGAAAATATTCAACTCTGTCTTAACAATACGAAATTAGACATTTTTTTTTGGAATTGTTAACAAGTTCGATCACATCAAGATTTCAAAATTTTTTTTTTAATCCAATTTTTTGGTTTGTCAAATAAATTTTATCAATTTAGGGTTTGACGTGATTTGGATATGTCCGAATGTAAAACAAGTCGAAGGTGAAACGAGATATGGTGTTGGATGGCACGGATGTAAACTCATTAATTAATCTTTTTCCGAATAAAAAGTATAACCATTGGTTGATGAATTATTTTAATTTATACCAATAAATGGCCCTGGATCTTTATGAAATTAATCCACACTTTGGTACCGCTATTGACCTCAGAAGCTCATTAAGCTCTCGTGAGTAAGACATTGCGTAGTGCCGTATGTTTAATTTACGCATCTGCTTGTATCATTTTTTAATTTTGACATTATAATGGACCTGCCATTACCGGTATATTTTTATTTTTTTAAAAAATAAGAAAAAGAAAATATGTTAAAAGAAAAAAACTTTCATCTTCTTTATTGCTTCCATTGTGAACAGATCTTGACAAGGAAATCTCCGCAATGGCCTCTGAAATAAACAAATGGTATACGTATCGATGCAGAAAAGCATATTATTGTGATGCGTACACTCATAATAGGGGAGGTGAGAATATTCAAGTGTGTATGGGTTTCTGAAAGTAGAGAAGTTTAAAAAATTTTAAAAAATTTTTAATCTTCTCTACTTTCAGAAACCCATACACACAATCGGTGAAATAGCGGTTCTAATGCGGGATTTGTAGAGCAATATATAGTACTTTATGGTATCCTCTCTGGTACTAATATTTTTGAAATAGAAATGATGATAAAAATCTTTTAATGATATTAGTGTATGATGTGATGGTTGTCTTTATAAAGTAAATTCATTCATTCATTTATTTTTAATTGTTGAATAAACCATTAAATTCATGATAAAGTTAATTCGTATGGATTGACCTTTATAATGTTAATAGATGGTAAATATTAAGAAAGTTATTTAATATAATTTCTCAATTATTTAAGTAATCTAAAATAACAAGGAACCGAACAAGAATTTTCTGGGCGGGAATCCAACGGGAAGTGATCTATTTAATCGTGAAGCATTTTGCTATCGTCTCCCTCATACAAGTTCATCGCTATCATCAAAACATTTCGTAAACATTACTTGGAGCATTCTTCTCTTCATTATCTATCAAAGCTTGATAGATGAACAAATTTATGCTTTTATTAAAGGCATTAATCTTTACCTCTCTAATTATGGTGGAAATAATCCAAATTATGCAAGGGAACGGAAGATAGCCCGTTGACGACGTTTTAGATCATGTTATAAGATGTGAAGAAAGAAAGGTTACTATTAATGGGTCTTATTATGTACAGGTTCTTATTGACGGTGAAGGATTTAAAGGTCTTGATAAATTTATTAAAATGACATTAATAGATCTATCTGATCACTATTCATCTAGTTTATAAATAATAAAGACCGAATCGAAATTTATTGTGCATTGATGTCCAAATTTATAGCACAATATTCAACGCGAAGATGCTACGCATTTTGAAACTGGTGTATTGCAAGTATAGTATAGAATTATTAATAATCTTTTTATTTCAGTTAATATATTTCACATTTAGAGATTACATGTAAATTAAAATCGTTCCCGTATTAAATTTATAATTTAATTTTTTTTATTAATAATATAGCCGATAAATTTATAAATATTATTTAAATTTAAATTTAATATTTATATAGAATGCTATGTTATTTAATTTCTATTTTCTGATTTATTTATCGTATCATA